GAAAGGTATAAGATACATAGATACAATATTCTTCAACTGGACTAACTAAAAACCAAATTTGCTTCATTTTTTCCAAATTATAAGAAGGGCAAAGCAGATATATAGACATGCAATTTCTTTTTTTTAATATATTTTAATACCAGGAAAAGAAATAAGTTCCTCTGAAAATCCCATTAAGAAGTCTGCCAGATTAGATGCCTGACTTCCAGTAAAATTCTGGAAAACACAAAAATCTAGGAAAGTCTCACAGGTTCCTATCTGCATCTTCAGCCACTTAAATATCTCTTGAATTCTAACTTCACTAACTACAATTCACACTTCAATAAACCTGTATATTTGGAAGAAAAAGAAAAAAACAACCACCAAAACTTATTTCCCTGGACATTCAACTTATTTAATCTAGTTTTAACTAATAATAAAAAAAAAGCTTTAAATACTACTTCTGTGCACTTTTAATCCAATTCCTATTTCCATCCAAGGGCAGCTTCATACAAATCACAAGTAAAAACACATCTAAAGAAGTGAGTCACTCACTATTTTTAACGTAATAAAATGGCAGAATTAAGAACTGGACAACCATAAGCCAAACTACACAAGCATTCATGTGTGTAGAGATAGCAATCCTCCCAGCTAGCAATCAAAGTACGAAGCTCAGGCACTTTAATACTTAGTTACTATTAAGGATATTCTGAGTTACTAATCAACATATTTCAAAATGATTATACCAACTAATAGCAAGGGGAAATACAAGTACTAAAAACGTTTAAAATCAATTATTTAAATCAATACACCTAGCCAACAGATCTCAAAGATAGGAAAGAAAGAAGAAAAAGGAGTTGGAAGCTCTAGATTCTTGAGTAATATATCAAATTTGCATCCTTGGCAGCAAAAAAGAAATAGGTAATTGATGAAGCAGTTCCAGACTTGGAAGTTTTCCTCTCTTCTAAAGCCATCAAAGGTGTCTTTGATAGCACTGCAGTCCAGAAACCCGAGGACATCAAGGAGATTCTAATAAGGCAACAACATGAAATTTCACAAAAAACAAGGACCAATTTATTCCTACAACGTTATCATCTTGAAAATTACTATTCACTTGGAAACTACTACTATTTTCCATACATATTATGCTTGGGAGGCGAGTTACAACTTTGAGGTAGGTGAGCTTTCTGAAACTACGCAGAAGCTAGAGACTAGAAGTGTCAGACTCCATGCTAACAACATGTTTGGTCACAATGCACTCCTCATTACCAGTTTCTTTCCTGTTTTTCTGCTCCTAAAGGAAGTTATACACTAAAGGAAATACCTGCT